GAGGATCGAGAGCTCAAACGACGCCACGATTGTGAGCGACACGAAGAGGAACGACGACATGATGAGCGCGAGCGAGACGTGGACCGCGAGCGACGGCGCGAGGAGTACGAGCGGGAAGACGACTTCGACCGAGGGTCCCAGGCGTCTAACCACCACGACCGATCGAAGCCAGAAAAGCCGAAGCTCGTGTTATCCACCTTCATCGGCGCAGATCCCGATGCATGGCTCAACCGGGCTGCCCAATATTTCGAGCTGAATGAGATCAAAAGAAACGATCGTGTAAAGTACGCTGCTTATTATCTTGATGGAGAAGCCAATGTGTGGTGGCAGTGGCTTACTAGCGTATACCGGAGCCGACAGCGAGTCATCCGATGGAAAAATTTCGAGTACGAGTTACTCACGCGCTTCGGCTCATCCGACTACCACAATTATGACGAGGCGCTATCACGCATACGGCAGACAGGAAGCTTGCGCGACTATCTAAAGGAGTTCGAGCGATTGGCATGTCGCGTACGAGGCTGGCCCGAGACCGCGTTGGTAGGGGCATTTATTGGTGGCCTAATGTTTGATCTAGCTGCTGAGGTGCGCTTAGAATGTACCGAGACAATGCATGCCGCTATGGAGGTTGCCCGATGCTGAGAAGATCAACTTGTGGCAACTCGAAGGGGACGGGCAGACGCACGCTACCCCGAGACACGACGCGCACAACCGGATGGGAGCAATATGATTCCGAGCGGCCGACCGCCCGATAGCTCACGACCACCAGTCCCAGAGGTTAAGAGATTGTCGCTCGAAGAGATAAGGTGTCGACGTGAGAAGGGACTTTGCTTTAAATGCGATGAGAAGTTCACACCGGGCCATCAATGCAAGCAAGCGTTTGTGATCAACGTGATCGACTCGGACGAAGACGAGCCCATGATTGAGAAGAATTTGGAGTGCAAGGTCGAGGTTGAGGTGCTCGAGGAGGAGGCCGAGATCTCGATGCACGCAATGGCAGACACCCAAGGACCGAGGACGATGCGGCTATCGGTGTTGGTCAAGGACCGTCGTGTAGTTGTGCTCGTAGACAACGGATCGTCGCACAACTTCATCCACGCCAATCTATCTCAGAAACTGAAGTTGCCAACAACGAAGATAGAGCCATTTGAGGTACGAGTAGTCAATGGTGAACGGCTAAGGTGCACCGAGTCTTATCGAGGGATGCCGATCAAATTTCAAAGAGTCACCATCAAAGCCGATCTCTATGCGCTACCCTTGGTTGGACCCGACATTGTGTTGGGAGTACAATGGCTCGAGGGATTAGGAGAAGTGACCATCGACTACCGAACCGGGATCATGGAGTTCCGATCTGGAGGTCAGCAAGTCACGTTAAAGGCAATTAAGGACGGTGGGATCAATGAGGCTGGTCTCAAGAGTATAGAGAGGGTTTGGCATGTGAGCGGCCAGATATTCACCGTCGAGGAGGCAAGCGCACTTGCGGGCACGGTCGAGCCAGTGAAGTACAAGGACCCCCCCACTGATCGACGACTATTTCGAAGAGATCGAGCAAGGCTCAACGGAATATGATGGCCCACCTATCTTCGACGTGTACCCCGAGGATGAACCCATGGACTTCAAAGTAGTCGAGGAAGCGGAGACCGAGGCAACTGAGGTTGAAGGGGAGGAGCACAAGGTTTGGGCGATTGAGAAACAACAGTCAAAGATACGCGAGTTGGTTAGAGCATCCGACCACGTACTAGGCGAGTCCGACAAAGAAGAAGACCGGGACGACGGAAAGTGTAAGGAGTCTTTCATCCCATTTGAATACTCAAAATATTTTAAGAACACACCGGCCATAAAGTACGAGTACGAGTCGACGGATTACGAAGGACCACCTATTTTTTATATATACCCCGATGAACACTTTGCCGAGTTTGAAGGAACTTGGGTTGAGTCTAAAGGAGATGAAGTGGTC